TTTTGTCGGTTTTGTGCACAGCTACACTGGACATACTATATTTCTGGGGAGAATTCTATTAGCGTATCCTGTCGAGCTCTGAATAGAGCCAATTCCTAGAACTAATACTTATGTAGAGCCATTAATTGCTAAGAATAATTTACTTGTAAATGCAAGATTCTATTAATTTTATCTATGATGGAATTCTTGTTCATTCCTGAAATCATAGCAAGTTATTAAAACTGCTTCATGGAAAGTAAAAAATTAAAGGAATCGTATTTGTTTTATAAGGATATTTGCTATAATTAATTTTAAAATACATTTTGCTTTTTAATGTTGTACTTTGAATTGTGATAATAATTTGTAAAACTTTACACAAAATGTTTTTTCCCTTTTTTCTTTTCCTTCTCGTTTCATTCCCCAGCCTAGAATGTATCTTTCATCTTCCATTCTGTTTACTAACTGGCCTAACTAGGTATATCTTGTGCTGTCCAGTAGAGACTAGATTAAGAAAGTGTATATTCTTTTGAATGGTTTTGATGATAGAAGCCTCATTCTCAAATAAACACACAATCGTTAATGACAAATAAAAACAAATTGTTGGTTTGCCAGTAGCTTCAGGACAATGGGTATCTGTAATTGGGGCTGGTTTTCGGCTAGTGCACACAATTGTGATGTCTAGTTTGTTTCCATGGGTCAATGCCTGTCCCTCCAGGCTGTTACATATTTTGTCAGTTACCTCTGCTTGATTAATAGCTTTCTAATTCTGTGAGAACTCCAGTTTAAATACATTTTGAGTTATCGTGAATAATTTGTTTTGAGTACTATTTAAGTTCTGTATGAAATTCCACATGGTTGAAACTTGGAAATTAAAGATAGTCAAGTGCCTTTGGAGTCATCCTTGACTCCTACCTTGCTCTCACACCCTCGATCCAGCAGGATCTGACCCTCTCTCTGCGTTCATTTCTCTTACATAGCTCTCGTCACGCAGCCTTTCTCATAGGCAGTTGTAATAACCATTTGCTGATCTCCCTGCTTCTGGTCCTGCCTCCTATAATGTATTATTCAAACAAAGAAAGACTTGGAGAGATCCTTACCTAAAAGAAGCCTGGGTCATTTCTTAAAGGCTCCTTGTCCTTCTTACCCCTTTTCCTGGGTGCTGTGCTCTCTGCATCTTGGCCTCAGGAAAACATCTCCTTGTTTTACTTTGCTTGAACTCTTACTGCCTTCTCAAATACTAACTTTCACGTTCTTGTTGACTGTGGCAGTGATGGTGGTGTGTATATTTACATATCTGCCTCACCCACTCCACCTCGCCCATGGGAGATGGTGCTGGGGTTCGTTCATAACTGTATTCTCAGCCTGAGAAAAACCCCTAACACATGTTAAATATGTAAACGTGTGGCACTATTGAATTAAAAAAATGCTCAAACACACCCTGATCATTTTTATAAAATGATACTAGTAAGAACAGATATTTTCTTAAAGGTCATAAGAGGCATTTCTAATTAAAATACTATGGCACTAGCATAAGTCAGTGAGCATAAAAGAATCCAGTTCTGGTATATTTTAGAATGGTATAGAATAAATGTATCATTGTAAAGAATGACTGATTTATTACATCATTCTAGCATAACTCCCTGGCCTTCTTAAATCAAGTACTATAGCTGGAGAGATAGCTCAGTAGAATAAGTGCATGACTGGCAAGTGCAAGGGCCTGAGTTCAATCCCTGGTTCCACCAAAAAAAAAAAAAAAAGAGAGAACTATATCATACCATATTATAAACTGAATTCCAGATATTTAAATGGAAGTATATACACACAGAGTCATCTGTTGCCTAAAGACAGCAGTGTGTTAGAGGTAGGTATAGCAGGTGATGTCCTTGTGTGTTTACATAGCATGTACTTAACACAAGCCTGGCCGGTATAGCTGTCCACACCCCTGGCTGTATGGGACAGGCATGGCTCCAGGGCTATAAGACATGTCCAGAATACTGAATGCTGCTGGAAGCTATAGCAGGGTGAAGTATTTGTGTGTCTAAAAATGGAAAAACACAGTAAGGGTAAAAAAAAAAAAATGGTGCACCTGTGTGGAGCTTTGGCAAATGGGGCTGGCAGGGCTGGAGGTGCTGCATGGCTGGTAGGTACAACAGCAGAGTCCCGGGCCCTTGCTGCACACTGCACACAGCCCTGGACCTCACAGGTATTGTGTGCTGCACCGTATGTAAATTCATCGCCAGTACTTTCCTTGCTTCAGTAAGTTAACCTTGGCTTATTGTCACATTTTTGCTTTATTAATTTTTTTAATTTTGTAAAACTTTTTTTGAGACGGGGTCTCACTGTGTAATTCAGACTGGCCTTGCCTCACTACATAGCCCAGACTGGCCTTGACATCAGGGCAGTCCTCCTGCCTTAGCTGGGATTGTAGGCAAGCATGCACCACCATGCTTGACTGAAGTTTTGAAACCATTCTGAGCCATCTGGAATACCACATAGCTTAGAACACACATTGTATATACAGAGACCTTTTTAACATTCTTACTCTATAAGCTTTGTTCTGTTTTTAATTATTTTACCTTCAATGCTAAGAAACAAATGTATACATTATTTTAGGCCTACATATAGGGTTAGGATTGTCCTTGTCCCTGTCTTCCGTGTCCACATCCCACCAGAAGACCTTTTGATGCAGCAACACGTACACAGCTGCCTCCTCCTGTCACAGCAGTGTGTTCTGGAATCTCTCCTGAAGGCCCTGCCTGGGACTGTTTCCAGCTACTTTTCCTCAGTATGTCAGTATCAAGAGCACACTCTAAAAATAACAACTAAAAGCACCCTGTAGTCAATACATTATTCAGTACTGTTTTCTCCATCATTAGCAAGGGTTCTGCACTTTATACAGCTGTATGTGCTACACTCTTATACAGCTACCTGCACAGTGACTTTGTTTACACCAGCATGACCTCAGACATTGTGCTCCAAAATCACAAGGGCTATGATGTCACTAGGTAATAGGAATCTTTCAGTTCCTTTATAATCTTGTGGGACCAATGTCATATACATATCCAGTCTGTCTATGACCAAAGTGACCAGAGAATGTTTAAGAAGAAGCCCAAGAATGTTTTAGCAAACACTGACTTGCAAAAACATAAAACAATGATAACTGTTTCTGGGAAGCGTGTACAGAAAGAAACATTCTTTTTCATTGTGGTGGTAAAATAAAAAGTAAATCTTCAGCATCTGTTAAAATGTAAAACATGTAACATTGACAAGCAGCCTTATATTAGGGAGTCTACATGACAGAAATGATTATATAAGAAAGATATGCCACAATATTTATTGAAACATTGTTGCCATAAAGGAACTGGAAACTACTTAGAAGTTTATCAAATAATTAATGGTACTTTTACCCTAGAGAATGTTATACAACTTTTAAACAATTTACATACATACATTTTGTTGATCTGAAAGACTACCTATGATTCTATGCCTGTATTTGGGGTTCTCTAGAGGATCAGAGTCAATTGAAAATACCTGTATACTTTTATAAGGGGATTTATTAGGTAGGCTCTCAGGAAGAGACATGGAAGAGTCCACAGTGGCCATATGCAAGATCAGAGGCAGAAGAATCCAGAAGGGCTGTCTGTGCCCTAGCGACTTGGAACATCAGTAGGTGCTCAGCCCAGAGAAGTGGAAGCTACAGAACCCCAGGAATCAGGAATGCAGCGCCATGACAATGCCAGAGCTTGGAAGCTCACTGGGTTGCCAGCACAGGTCTGTATTGGAAGCTGAAGAAACTGGAATCGGTTGCCCAGAAGCAATGGCCAATGAAGACTGGAGCTCTTCCAAAACAAGGAGGCTTCCTTCATCTTTCCCTTTGTATTCTCTCCCATTGGTTGCTGCCACCCATATCTGACCCACTCAGTTTGCTGTCCTGATGTTATTCGCATGCACACACACACTCACACACACAATAATGACAGACAGGCAGACAGAGACAGATAAAGAAATGGAGGACTGTGCTTTACTAATCTGATAGGCAGTTCTTACTCAATTCCGATTGACATATCCCAATTATTGGCTACAATGCTACAAATGGTTCAGAGTAATGTTTATCTTACAATCCATTTTTATTTTTTAATGTATTTGGTACAGGGTCTCACTATACAGCTTGGACTCGTAGTGATCCTTCTGTTTTCAGCCTCCCCAGCACTGGGATTACAGGCCTGCACCACCCTGCCCAGACTTGGTGGCTGGCTCAGCACACCCGGGACCGGGCTGATGTGGCATGTGTTGCCAGGGATCAAGCCTTGGTCCCTGTGCTTGCCAAGCAGGCGCTTAGAGTGCTTATCTTCCTTGCTGGCCCTATTCTGGCCCTATCTATTAAGCGTGAAATAATATATATGCTTGTATACATGGATTTTTGATATATGTATTTGTAAGGAAATGTATAGAAAGGGACCTATCAATTAGCCAACAAGAATTGTGCTGACAGGAGTGGAAAGCAGGGAACAGTTGAGAATAGTATCTGGTCCAATCAAACTGTTGTTCAACCTGGTGAAACAGACATGTTCTTTTAATTTTAAAAGATATAATAAAGGTCATTCAATGATAAATATTAATACACAGTACAGGACATGAGCACTTTGGCTTTGAGTATCTGTGAATACCAGCAACTATATCCTGAGAAAGAAAAGCCAGCATTACTATATTTAGCCAGAGACATAGAAAAACATATGATCTTATTTGACCAGTATGTCAGTGTTCTCCAAATCTACTTACAGCTTATAGATTTTGAATTTGAATTTTTAATTTTAGTTCACTTAAAACTTGGCTGTTCTAAGAATTAATTACTGAAGAAACTAGGTTATAAATAAACAAAAATAGTGCTTCATTGTTAAAATGTTCTTCCAGTTATTCTTTATAACCTGCCCTATGATTAAATAGAACATTGTCTTGTTTAATATTTGAGTTTTCTTACATTGCATACAAAGATTGTTTATCATTTTTCTTTTTTATTTCAGAACGCTTTACCCTGTACAGCTCTAAAAACCTTAGACAAGCATGGAATAAGTAAGTCTTTACCTAGATTTTGCTAGTTCTTTTTTTCCTTTTTAGTATTTACAACTTACCTGATGTTTGTCCTGGCATTTTTTCATTTATTCATGCCATTATCTATCTATTCATTCAACTATTGCACTGTTATTAAGCCCTGTGTTCTGGCTATAGTGTTTGTACTGAGCCAACATTCAGTGTGGGTTTGGGTCTCTAGAGCCATGAGCTGTTGCATCAGAACTGCAAATCCTGAAATGTTTTGTGGTTTATCTGCCTGTAACTAAATTCCAAGAAACAGTATCAGCTGAATGCTTATAAAATATAACATACTGACTGCCTTTTTGATCTAAATGAGTTCATGCTGACTTTTTGAGTTAGATAAAAATTGATGTCTCAAATCTCTCAGTCTGCTTTTTCCCCTAAGCCTTGCTAGGACCCTGGATACATGTGGCACTTGAAGCATATTTGCTCCATTTTTGTATTTGTGTTCTCCCCTCTGACCTTGTTTAAGTAGTGTTATTTACTCATTTCAAAATTTCAGGAAGTTGGAGGATCTGGGTTCTGAAAGTTATGTAAGTCTTTTTGCAGAAGCCTGACTATTTGGAGGCAGAAAGCAGAGGAACGGAGCCACTCCCTCTGGGTTGCAGGCACCGCATTGCAAACATTGTGCTGGAGAACTGGAACTTCTTAAATTAAATAAACTCCCCTTTGTCATAACAACAGTTTGTCTGTAGGGAATTTATAAGATCTCACATTTTACTGTTATGACATGTTTAATTTTGGACACCATCAGTAGTGAAAATAAAAATTAAAGAAAGCCTTTTCACATCTACAGTGCTTTTAATCACTGCTGCCAGTAGAGACAGTGGAGAGGGGACGAGTACATGAAGTTCTACAGCAGGTTATTACAGTCATTTGTTGAAATGAATTACTGGAAGATTCTAGCCATGTACTTGTACCGAATCTGTACTTAACACTCTAGCATCATTTTTGCCTAATATGGACCTTAGCATTTGCCATTTGAATAGCCAGCTCTCAAACTGTGGAGTCTCCCCTGGTCTCCACCTTCTGCAAGGAGTGTTCTATGCCTGCTTTTCTAACTACTGGTCTAGCATGTTTTAATTAAATGCTTTTGTATGCCATATAACACAGTGTACAGTTACCACCTTAATTACATAATTAGATATATTTCTCTCATAATTGTTCAAAAGTTGTGTCCAACTAAGTAACTACTTTGTGAAGAAACTCTTGTTAAAGCAGTTGAATTTTTTTTTTAAATGTATTTAGTACAGGTCTACAGGGTCTCACTACACAGATCAGACTCATAGTGATCCTCCTGTTTTCAGCCTCCCAAGTGCTGGGATTACAGGCGTGCACCATCATGCCCAGCCTCAGTCGCCATCGCAGCTCACTCTGGGGGAGAAGCAGCTAAATTTTTAACCCTATATTTGAAGTCTCAGTACAGTCTGACAAATTATATATAGCAGCTACAGCTATGTACTGTTGCAAAGAATAGGCTGTGAGAAATTTAGAATTAGAACTAATTTAAATTCATTTCTAAAATTGGGCCCCACTTAAATTACTGTTTAAATATTTTAGAGAAAATATTAAGGGCTTAGCTTGAGGTAAGATTTTAAAACTATGAACATACCTTGTTCAGCTTCTCACTTTTAAAAAATTTCCCATTAGCCTTAGTTTTTGTTGCCTTAAGGGTTTGTCTCAGAAATGTTACTTAAACTCATCACTAAGATATTATTAAAATATTCCTTTCTGGGCCAGTGAGATAGCTCAGCAGACTAAGTGCCTACTCTGGCAAGCACAGGGACCAGGGTTCAATCACTGGTCCTGCATGCCCCTCCCCTCAGGGCCCGCTGAGCAGGTGACCAAGTCCAGCCATGGTGGCGCATACCTGTAATCCCAGCACTGGGGAGGCTGAAAAACAGGAGGATTACTGTGAGTCCGAGCTGCGTAGTGAGGCCCTGTACCAACATAAATGAAATATGTATATATTCCTTTCTGTTCTGCTGTTATCAAGTGCTGAATCTGTAACACAGACATTAGCCTTTAGCCCCCTTTAAACTCAGTAAACTTTAGAGAGAACTGAGAATCCAAAGACATTAATTAGATTATTGATTCTTTCTCCAAATGAACCTTGTAACCATCGTTGCCGTTCTGACATCTCTTCCTTGAGGATTAAGAGTTAAAGTGGAAATAACTGCAGTAAAAGACTGTTAGACAGGGAGTAGTTTTTTCCATTCTGATAACCAATTTTCTTGTCTAAAACAACTGCTAAACTGAAGCAACTGGTAAATTCTCTTGTACAATGGTAATAGGTTCAAAGTGACGATAACTAATTTGCAAGAACTAATTTGAACTTAATTTAGATGGGTTAATATAAGATAGGTGGGTTAATATCAAAAAGTATGTTGCCATTGAAAATTAAGTGTCAATGCCTTTAAAGATATGCTTTAACCCAGCTCTTAAAGCTAGGGGGAGTATTAACTCATTTAAGAGAGTAAGAATTTCTCAAGAAACGAATCCGTAGGTTTCTTGGAATCGCTATGGTAAATGACCCGGTTCATGTGGGGGCCACATCTGCCCCAGATAACACCATGTTGTTCCCTGCTGGCTTCATTTGTATCAGCAACTGTGGTGTAATTTTATCCTTTGACAAGCCTTTTTTTTTTTTTTTAGTATTCTAAGAAAATATAGTGGTGATGGAAGGAATCTCAAAAGATCCAGTACCTAGCCAAGCTATAAAGAAGTCTGAATGATAGAATTGAGAATTACAATTTTATATCCATAATGAAGAAAAAGCCCTTCGTATTCCCTCATACTGGAAGTGCGTGGTACATAAGAACTCATCCTGTAGACGGAGATTTAGGGCTAAAGGGAGACAAATCTTAATTTTAGGAAAATATGTATTATTTTCTGAGTGCCTTCAAAACATTCTGTTTTGTTTCACTGGAGTTATAAAGACTCCCTATTTTTCTTCCAAATCTCTCTATTTATAGTTGTCTGACGTTGGCATGTATGTGCAATCAACCAAGAATTTCAGCCACTTAAAAGATCTTTTATTATTTTGGCTGGAGGAGAAGCCTTAGTATATACTCTCCAGCAAAGTCAAGGGTAGGATTCCAGGAACACATTTGCTTGTTTTGGAACTTTTTAACAGCTAAACATTTTGGGAGGTTTGCAAGTATCGGAATGAGAGCTAAGGATAAACCGCTAAGTCACAGAGGAGAGAGCTGGAAAACGGCGGGTGTGCCTTTCTGAAGCGAAGCCCGTCCTCAGGCTAGGAATGGGTGTGGGCCCACCTGGGGCTGCCTCCGCACTAGTGCTTGTAATAAGCCTTCTGCTAGTCAGTGCAACTGGATTTCTCCTAAAAACCCCCATAAGTTGTTACCTTTAAGTGTGTAGTAAGTGCAGAAGCACAGCTGTGAAGCCATCTTTCTGGAAACGCAAAATCAGAAAAGAAAAATATTTCTGTGCTGTATTTCAGCATGCCAGCAATCACAGGCCCTAATGTGGAAGCTTTTGAAACGCTTCCTAACTCTGTGCTCTGCCGCTCCCCCCCTCCAGTGTTTTATCTGACTCTGTGTTTATCCTTCAAGACATGTTAAAGATGACTTGCCAAGAAGCTGTGCTACATATACATAAAACATGATATATTTAAACTACTGGACATAACCTAACTTGCATTTTATAGAGGTGCACTACGGTGCTTCTCTTTTTGTCATATCTGATGTATCCTATTAAATTTAAGCCAGTGCCTTCTCGAGAAACTAAATACTCTTTTCCACTGTACCCTGTAGTGCTAAGCTGATCCAGACTGCTCTACCGTACTCTTCCCCAGCAGCACGCATACCTGCCTAACAGAACACTAGACTGCGAAGTAAGTTAGAGCTATACGTTTCCTTGCCGGTTTAGAAACACAAGCAAGGTACGAACATCCTTGGTGCACTAGGAGGAGCAGTTGAGTTGAGTCAGGTCTTTAAATCCTCTTTCTCCACTTTCACATTTTTCCCACTGTTCATTATTTTTGCTGTAAATCTATTTGCTTCAAAGTAGCAGTTTTAGTGTATGTAATACCTGGAGACTCTCTCATATGTCGTTCACTTTTGAGCGCACAGGTTTATTAGGGTGACTAAAGGAAACATCGGGGAATGCCAGCTCCTCGGCCTCCAAGGTGGGTGTGACTGTCAGCCGCCCAGAGCTGCAGGTTCAGGTCCATCGGCGGAAGGCTCTGTGGTACAGCCCCTCCACACTAGTGCTTGTAATACGCCTCCTGTTAGTCAGTACAACTGGATTTCTCCTAAAAACTCCCATAAGCAGTTACCTTTAAATGTGTAGTAAATGCAGAAACATAGCTATGTTCAGCTCTGCTGACCATGTGCAGTTCTCAAGAATAGTGAGGCCCAAGCAGGTTCCTCATCCTGACCTTGGATGCCCGTGTGTGGCGTTGTCTGAGGGCCCAACACAACCACCTGCTTGCTCGGAAGTTGCAGCTGAGAGCAGTTTATGGAAACATTCGGGTTTTTAAGGGTGAATCACTAATCCAGTTACTGAGACATTATGTACAGTGGTGTTATTTAGACCCACAACTCCTTGCCACCTAACAGAGAACAGTTCTAAAAATTGCAGGTTGGATGCCTGAAAGAAGAAAAGGATAACCTGAAATAAGAGCCTCTGGGTAGTGTCCTAGAGTGCCTCAAACAAGATAGAATTAAAGAGTGTCCAAATCAGGTTGAGGACAGATTCCAGGAGGACAAAAACAAACTGTCTTACAAGAAAATTGGTAAATTTTCCAACAAGCTAGGTCTCACCACTAGTCATAGCAGCAGCATAAACGTAGAACATTTTCCACACACCTAGTTAAGGGCCAACCATTTTGCTAATGATTATTCTCATGTGGGGGTAGCAAGGGTAAGTAACATTTGGACAAACTTTTGCAAGAATGTGCTTTTGTGTAGTGTCACATCCTCATGTGTCCTCACAGGCTTTCGGGGTATCTGGGG